TATACTATAGTTTTCCTTTTTATTTATTATTTTTTTAATAATTAAAAGAAGGCCTCAAAGAACATGTTTAGAAGTATATTGATATGGGACCTGAGTCGCACGCTTCCACCAACCGAAACATTGGCATTGCCGTAATTATTCAATTGGTGGGTCTTTTCTTCATAGATTATCAACGTTCCTCGAATCTCTCTCCATGTATCTAATACATCAAAATGGATTCATGTAATTCAATCGCAAACGAAGTCAATAATCTGGTTTCACGACATGGGTTTGGTTAAGGTTTTACGAACAATTGATTTCGAACATGAATCCTACCCAACTTATGAAGATTTCGCAATTCTTCCCGCGTTTGCTATCTTCTTTCCAACTTTTCGATATTTCCTTGACATATATGTTTTTGAGGTAATTTTTACTCATCTCATTCAATCATATCTAATTATTTGATCAGATTGGGATTGTATTCATCAAATTTTATGGGGGACGTTAAGATAAACCAGAGTTATGTTTCGTGTTTGTTGGGAAATATGTTTCACATTTATAATTTTATTCTCTACGTTCAAATGAGAGATTCCCCATATTATAAGCTAATATTTTGATGTCAAAATACGGTTTTAGTTGCATTTAGAACCATTGAAATTGATTTTGTTTTACACAAAGTTATGAGTTTTTAAGAATCAAGAAGGATGAAAGATACATTTATATCTAATTGATGGATGCATTAGATCAAGGCTTATTTGGAGAGGAGACACGAAATACAAAGGATTATATATGAGTTGTATTGGCGATAGAATCCCTAGTTTCGAATGGAAGCACAAATGAAGATTATTTCCAAGAATCTTGGTCTATCAAACTGCTAGTTATTGCTTATGTCAAAGTAAGGTGATTTGAAAAAAAAAAAGTAATGTAAATTAGGCATCTTTAAACAGGGTGAGAAATGAGTAGATATTTCATGAAGATTTGGATCCTTTAGATGTGACATTTAGACCTCCATAAGTATGGTGACCATGAAGACATGAACATCAACGAAAAATGCAACACAAAACCCTTTTTTCTGTAAGTGATTTCTTAGATAAAAAGAGGTGATAATGGTTGTATCAATGAATATAACATTATGGGGATCAGAAAATGGAAGATAAAGAGGAGATTGAGAGTCTACCATGGTTAAACAAAACCAAACAAAGAACTCTCAAAATCGACTAACTATTAAACATAAAATATCAAATATATAATCAATCAATTCCAAAAACATGTTCACATTTTATGATTGAGTGACATGTTGCAGGGTATAGGAAGGCAATTAATATTTGCAAAGGAGAATCATAAGCTAGATGTCGATACAGAAGAAAGAAAGAAAAAAATACGAAAATTTAAAGAATCGGCATGGAAATGTGCTTATTATCTTTCAGCTGAAATTCTTGCTTTAATTGTAACTCATAACGAGCCTTGGTTCACAAATACTATCAACTTCTGGATAGGTCCTAATAATCAGAGATGGCCCGACCAAAAAGCAAAGTAAGATCATATAACTGTATTGTATCATTGTATGCACTTTAGTTCTTTTCATCATCTCAATTGTTTAATACATATTTTTCAGGTTAAAATTGAAAGGTCTATACATGTACACAGGGTGGATTCTATGTGTATTCCATCTTTGCTTTAGTTTTCTGGGAAACGAGAAGGTCTGACTTTGGTGTGTCAATGGGGCATCATGTTGCAACTGTCATCCTCATTGTAATGTCTTATATTTGTAGGTATATATATGATTTATAAAGGAAATTCATGGACTAATAATTTAATACTCTAATACACGTTTTAATTAAAATATTTGTTTCTTGTAGATTTGTGCGTGCTGGTTCTGTGATTTTAGCTCTTCATGATGCAAGCGATGTGTTTCTTGAAGTAGGAAAGATGTCTAAATACAGTGGTGCCGAAGGACTTGCAAGTGTTTCATTTATATTATTTGTGATTTCATGGGTAATCCTTCGGCTTATTTATTACCCTTTTTGGATTCTACGGAGTACAAGGTTTGAGCATCATGGAAACTACATGCTATTAAAGTTCATGCATTTAATATTCCTTATAAATTATGAATTATGATCATATCATCTTTCTTTTTATTCCTTGTTGCAGTTATGAAGTTGTTATGTTGTTGGATAAAGATAAACATGATACATTGATACCAATCTACTACTATATCTTCAACACCCTTCTTTTCTGCTTGCTCGTTCTTCATATCTATTGGTGGGTGCTTATATATCGGATGCTTGTTAAACAAATCCTAAATAGAGGCAAACTTAGTGATGATGTTCGTTCAGGTAAGTAATCAAGTCACTATGATTTAATTATCGACTAGTTGACCTTTTGAACATTAATAAATGCAACTTGTGATTGAATTCACGGTCCAAAAATCCACCTTAGAGAATATTACACTTTTGTACACACTCTTATTACTTGTTTCAAACATTTTAAGTAATTATATATGTTATGGTATCGGTTTTATTTTAAATAGTTTGGTTTTTCCTTTTGCAGATTCTGATAGTGATCATGAACATGAAGATTGATCAATCATTCTTGTAGTAAAAAGGTAATTGGATTCGCCAAGAAAGCGATAGAATTATAACATGCGAAAGAGTTATTTAAGGGTGAAAGGAATTTCAGCACGAAAGTTTCGTTCCTTAATCAAGGCACGTTGTATATTTGTATGAAATCAATCAAATGTTTGATATTATATAGGGAGTCAATGTATAGAAAGTTCAAATGTAATGAAAAGTCAACTACAATGGGTTCTTAATTTGGTTACATAATGATCTTGACTCAATATTGCAGAACTTATTTACACCTAAATACCTAATTAAATCTAACCGAATGATCTAACTATCTTGATGTAACACCCACAAACTACGGTGAATTATTTTTAGCTTTAAGATATTTTAATATTCGTTTGTATAAGTTATGAATTATAAAGGGTGTTATGTGGGTGTTTGTTATAGGTGTATAGATTATGGAGATTATTGATTTCAAGAGGATAATATCCAAGTAACTCGTTAGGTATGAAGAAACATGAATTTACATCGGTATTTTAGGGTTGTCCTTAAATTGGTGAAATATTGTGTTATGTGTATGTAATTGATACATTTAGACTAATAAGAGGGCCAAGGTGTAAATTGGTTATTTAAATCTAATTACTTATTCATTTAGCTAAATTTAAAAGGATTTCTAACGGTTACCATGCCGGTAAATCAGGCGGATAAACTAGAAACATTTTCCAAGCTATATACTTTAAGAGGTTGTAGTAGAAAATGTTTTTCTACCTAATAACCTTGAATCTTGCATGGTACTTGTTTGAAGATGCTCCAAGGATGCTCGAAGATGAAGGAGACATCCAAGCCTTGAGTATCATTGAAGCTTGGAAACATTCTGATTATGTTTAAAATGATCTTGTTGATTCACTTTATAATGTGTATTGTGTAACCAAAATGGTTAAGGAACTACTTGAAGCATAAACGAAAGGAAATGAATATTGAGGACCTAATTGTTTGCCTCCAAACCGAGGAGGAAAAATAAGAAAATGAGGGAAATGTCATGGAAAAGCTAACTCGTGATGGTTCTAACATCGATCTTGCAACAATCATCTCCAAAGTCACCCTTGTGGAGTCTAACCCAAGGAAATGGTGGATTAATACATGTGCCACCCTACATGTTTGCTTGAAATAGGGAGTGGTTCAGAAACTTCAAAGTTGTGAATCGGGGATGATCTGCTCGTTTCATGTGGTTATGGGCCTCATAACACGTGGTTCACATGGAACAAGTGTCGGGACCAAAACTTGTAATTGCTATAACTTTCGTATCCGACCTCTAAAGTAGTCCCCGTTTTCACATCCATTCATGTTTTAACATGAAAAAGACTTTGAAATAATAAATTTCATATTCAGTATGAAGATATTAATAAGTGACTTAATGGATCACTTAATAAGGCTTTGAAAAACCGTTTAATGTTATTAGCGACACTTGAGTTCCTAAATCGTTTTTGAGGAGGAAGGGTTGTGTACGCAATGAATGTACATGGAGCATATTGGTTTCCCATGCTCGTGGCGGTATAACCAAAAATCGCCCCATATGTGTATACCATACGATAGGCCAAACACATATATGGAAAGAAATAATAAAACAGAAGTACAATAAAGTTTATAATTAAACAAAATACATATTACTACATATAAAAACCAACACAAAATCATCAAAATCACCTAAAACGTTGGCTTTGTGTATTTTCCCAAAGCAAAAACATCTATTATTTTATGATAGTCAAAACTAAGCATAAATTGATTTTCGATGCTAAAAACTGCTACCCATTCAATCTTTGTTTTGTCATGGTTGTTCGGAGATATGGTTTTGGCAACTTCAATTTCTATAATAATCCTATTTTATAAATGCAACTCTTTTAGTTTTAAATATAAATCATCTCAAACCCGTGGATCAAAAATATTAAAATCACTTAATTTATCAACAAAATTCATTATTTTCAACAATCATTGGAATAATCAACTTGATCATCTGAATTATCAACAATATCATTAGAATTAATAATTAAAGGATCATTAGAAATATAAACAAATTCACTAGCATTTTCAATAATATCCTCATTTGTGACAAAATATTTATCTATAGATTGGTGTAAGGAATATAAAATTTCTTGATTTTTTTTATGTTGAACACTGATGGTTGTTTTCTAGGAAACATATTAACCAAACAATACTCAAACGATGAGAGCAAAGAAACATAAAACCTGGATTCCTTGAATAAGTCATTGTTTTAACTCTCAAATTGAATAAGTCATTGGTTTAGAACTTCCAACTTTCAACATGATTAAGTAAGTCCGCCGTTTCAAAATCACAATTAGAAATTTATAATCGTTCTAGAAATCATAATCGAAAATTACAATCAAAAATCACAATTAGTAATCACAGTTAGAAATTCAAAATCAATGAAGTAATGAAGTCAGAAATTCAGAATTTTTAGTATTGTTCCAAGAATTTATACAACCAGAATTCACAATAACTCAATATTTATACACATCTCATTGATTTTTTTTTCAAAATCGTCCTCGACTCACATAGATTCCAGAATCATCATGGGTCCTCCTCACCCCTAACACTCGGTAGTAGGCTCAAGAAATCAGAAGGCATAAGTGGTAAGATTTCTTTTTCTTATTATCATCCTCACCCTTGACAGTCGTGATTCGTGATGAAAGAACGTCGCCTAAATCCTAATTGGTAATCGGGTAATCGGCTAATCACCTAATCAACAACGATAGGATTTTTTAATCTCTAGGGTCAAACCATTCAATAAAGAGTTTATAAAATTTGGGCTTCTAAACATATATATGATATATACTAATTTACACTAATAGTAAATGGGCATAGTTCTATACCCCTCCTAAATTATTGTCTGGATCGTCCAATACTTAGGGGTTGTTTGGTAGGATCTAGATGATTCATATATGGATGATGAAGAGGCCTGGATGACGAAGATGATCTTTATGAATCTGTACCTGAACCAAAATTGATGTTTGTTTAAGCATCTGAATCCCTGAATCTTAATGACGAAAATGACCATTTTAACCCTCTAAACTCTTTTTTACATACAAATTAAACATCATAAAATATCCAAATTAGACATTAGACATCATATAAACATCCAAATTTGTTATATATGGATCCTTATATCATAATATAACAAATTTATAACGGTATCTCACAATATTTTCCAAAAAAAAGAGGATCATTGTGGCTGTTTTTGACATCCTCTCAGCATTAACATGTGGTGACATCAAATCCCCAAATACTTCACTATTTCTTGCAATATACTCTCATAATACTTGCTCCCCTTACAAACGCCAACAATGGAAGATTGGGTCAAGAGAATATCAACCCATATCACAAACTTCATCCAACAACTCAACGAAATTATGAAGAACGGCACGAACAGAAGACAAAAATCAATTTCATACAAACCACAAAAAAAAAGCAACAAGAACACGACCAAAACACCAATTTCATCCAAAATCGAGCAGCAAGAACACGATTCAAACATTAATTTCGAGCAAAAAAACAAATCAGAAAAACTTACCAAATAAGAGGGAGGAGGCGAGGAAGGAGATGACGAAGGCAGAATGGAGCAGCGCTGCCAGATGGCAGTAGGAGGAGGCGGCGATGAAGTCGGAGGCTAGCTGGGAAGCTGCCGACGCCTGAGGTTGGCATGGGGGAAGTTGTCGATGCCTGAGGAAAGGGAGAATGACGGAGGAGCCGAGGAGGGTTCGATTCATGCGTAGCGGGGGAGAAAGAAAAAAAAGAGGTACGCTTGTTATGTTAGGGCAAGGGTATTAGAAGTCTTTTTTTGCATCCAGACTTCTTCTCACCTCTTCACGATCCAAACCATTTTTTGCCACATCTGACCGGTTAAGAGGGTAAAAGAGATTCAACCAAACACTCTAAATCTAAACGATCCAGAGCTAGCCTCTTAATGAGATCATTAAGGGGAAAACAATAAGCCCCTTAGCTTGGGCATGGATGCACACTATATACCATATAATTAATTAAAGAAATATAGTGACAAGTCATCACTAGCGTCAACATACTCATATACTAATGAGTATTTAAGTTAACAAAAAAGTTATATTATAGGGAAGTAAACTAAACTAATCATACTTTTATTCCGTTTTAAAGAAAATAATAAAAAAATTCTAGTATTCGAAAAATAATATTTTTTAATTTTAGGAGCTTTTTTCACAATTGTTTTAAAAAAAACATTCTCTACTTCAAACCAAAATAAGACTATTTCAAAAAAACGTTATCTAAGATCATCATTTTTCAATAAAATTAATATATCAAAGCCCTTTATCTTTTATACTTCAAATTAGATTTTAGTAAAAAACAAACTATTTTATCCAAATTTCGGAAACTTTCATCATATTTCAAACTTGTTCTTGACATTTCGAATTTTTTTTTTGGAATCCAAAATGTCAGTCCAAAATATATTATTTCATAAAAAAAATATTTTTTAATGATGTTCGGAATAACCCGGAATCACTCATTTCGGACTTGTTGCTTATATATAGATATAGATATAGATATATATATATATATAGATATTATATATATATATATATAGATTATATATATATATCTATATATTATATGGGGTTGGCTAAAAAAAACATCTCATTTTATCATTTAGATACCCTATATAGTTTTTAAGGTATTTTTTATATGGCAGAAATTGCATTGTTTTCTGAAAAAGATAATTATAAGTAGTTACCTATAGGTTGACTTTTGATAAAGATGTCTATGAGGTGTCTAAGGTGTGTCTTAATAACATCATATATATATAGATATATATATATATATATATATATAAGATATATATATATATATATATATATATATATATATATATATATAGAAAGAGAGAGAAAAAGAGGTAAGTTCAATTGAGAAAATAAAAAAGGTTGAGAATGGGGGAATCGTTCTCAGCCACTCATTTATTTTTTCCGCAAAAGCCTTTGTTGTACCACAGCGGAAATGGATAAGGACATACACATGTGTTTCCAACAAAACATGTTCCTTAAACTATGTTAATCATTACCTTAATATATACAAAACATAGTTTTTTTTGTGTTTTTTATTTTTAAGAAGCTATTTATATCGAAAAATGATTTTAAATATACCAAAATTCATGATTTTTTATTCTCTACAAATAGACATTTATATTGATATACTTTTAAGATA